CGATTCTTTTCTTTTGTTTTACTTTTTGTTTTTCAAGACAGGGTTTCTCTGTGTAGCCCAGGCTGGCCTCAAACTCACAGAGATCCGCCTGCTTTTGCCTCCGGATTGCTGGGATTAAAGGCATGAGCCACCTTGCCCAGCTGACCAGGGGGATTCTTAGCAGTCAAGCACTCAATGGTAGAGTGCCTGCTGAGCATGTGTACAACCTTGGGATCTCTCCCTAACACTATAAAAATAAGATAAAATAAAATAAAACAAAAATAGTCCCAAGCAGGTCGGGACTGGTCCCGAAGCCAGAACAGAGTAGGAAGTAGACACTGGATCTGAAAGCAGGCAAGCAGCCAAGGGCAACACTGAGGTCCAGGGCCTCAGTCCCTGCCGAGACGTCTGCACCCAGAGATGGGAAGCCACAGGACCCCCTAGCTCCTTCATTGGCTCCCAGAGCATAAACTTGGCCTATTATGTTTGCCCTAACCCATCTTCCCCCTTGGAGATTAAGCCTGAGCTTCCAAGAAGTTTCAGGGATACTCGCTGGTTTGTCTGAAGACAGTGAATCAGCGTATGTGGGGGAAATGATAATGGAGATTTAGGGAACAGGTATTTACTGAGTGCATAATTTAGGGTAGAGGTGTTGCCTGCTCTTGGTCAGCAAAAAACGGTGGATGACTTAAAGTCCCATCAGGGGGCCAGAATGTTGGCTTAGTAAGTGTGAGGCCCTGGGTTCCAGCCCCAGGCACCACAAACCACCACCAACAAACTGGTGAACACTAGTCTAGTCCGTGCCAGTTAAGAAAATCGTCAGTGGTCCACGGGGATTGCAGGGGGTTTAAATGAACGCACCAGAGCAACGAGCATGTGTGCTCCTGTTGAAAATGAAAAGTGAGGAGCAAGCTTCACTAGTGAAGGTGGCCTCTAATGACACAGCAATCAGGCCTGAGGACTTTACAATTGGGTTCTTTTAGTTACGAGGGCTGGGAGAACCCCCCGCTGTCCCTCTGGGAAATGGGCCCCACTCTCATTATTATTCCAATTAGAGTTGGGTTGGGGCTCTAACTCCTCAGCTTGGTACACAGGGGGGGTGGGGGTGGGAATCACAGGGAGGCAGATGATAAGCTGGCTGCATTGTCCCAGCTCTGCCACCAACCCAGTTGTGGTTCTGGGGCAAACCTTCTCCCCTCCTGGAGCCTTAAGTTGCCTCAACAGTAAAACAGGGCTCTTCATATGTGAGGCAGTATGAAGGAAGACCTTGTGTGCAAATGGGCTAGCCTTGGAAGCCAGGTGCCCAGAGGACCGGGTGGGGGTGGGGGTGGGGTGGGTAGAGAGAGCCAGGAGAATGTTCAGCAGAGCAGAACAACGTTTCCATTAAAGTTCTCATTAATTTTGCTATTTATTTGGGCATGGGTGTGGGGCTGCTTGGCTGTGTCCTCAGGCACGCATGTTCTCCAGCCACAGCTGGTGTGGAGATGAGGGGACAATTTCTAGAGTCACTCTTTCTTCTATGTGATTCCCAGGAATTGATCTCTGGTCATCAGGTTTGGTGGCAAGCACCTTTACCTGCTGAGTCCACCCCCACCCCATTTTTAAACAAAGTTTCGGATATCTCATGCTGCCCTCCATCTCCCATAGCTGAGGATGCCCTTTAATTTTTTTTTTTTTTTTATTAATTTACGTTTACTCCTCTGCATGTGTCTATGATTACATGAGCTTATGTGCACCGCATCTAGGTAGGACCTGGAGTTACGAGCAGTTGTGAGCTGCCAGATATGGGTGCTGAGGAACTGAACCAGGGTCCTCTCTGAAGAGCTGGGAGTGCTTTTAAGTGATCAGCCATGTTAACAGTCCAACCTTGAATTTTTTTTTTTTTTTTTTTTTTTGACTGATTAGTATTTTATTTTTTGAGACAGGGTTTCTCTGTGTAGCTCTCCCACCCCCACCCCCAGCCAATGTCCTGTGAATTAGGCTGGCCTTGAACTCAGAGATCCACTTGCCTCTGCCTCCTGAGTGCTGGGATTTAAGGCCTGTGCCACTATTCCATTTCCAACCTTGAATTTTTGACCCATTTGTCTCTGTCAGGAGTGCTGGATGACAGGCATGGGCCATTAGGTCTGGTTTTATTCCACTATGACACTAGGGTTTTATAGAACAACACTTGAATGAGTTTCCAACGGGTCAGGCACTGTGTGAGATGCCTTCCATGTGTTTAATCACATAATTCTCCAATAAACTTTGAAGTAGCTAAAATTATTATTTCTGCTTTAAAGATGATTGAGATATATAGAATCTACTCTTGGGTACTCATTAAAAAACCCACCCCATACTGAGCCCTAGTATGTATGTGATACTCTGTCAAAAAATTCAGTTGGACTGGGGATGTGGTAGGAAGCTTGCCTATCATGTGTAAGGTCCAGAGTTTAGTTCCCAGCACTGCTTAATTAATTAAGCAGTGATTAAGCGGAGTGGGGGGTGGGCGTACACCTTTAATCTCAGCACTTGGGAGGCAGAGGCAAGTGAATCTCTATGAGTTCAAGTCCAGCCTGGTCTACAGGGTAGTTCCAGGACGACCAGAGCTACACAGAGAAAAACCACAAACAAACAAACAAATAAGTACTCACAGCTGCTCTAAGACAGCAGGGGCTGAACACAAATATTGATCCTTGGCGCGAGCGGAAGTCCATCAGCATTCACTCATGAGCAGAAGGGTGAGTAGGATGTGTATGTGCAGAGGTAGCGTTCTTTTTAGACAGTCTCAGGTAGCTCCGGCTTTCCTTCTTCCTTACACCACCCAAGACCCAGGATTATGGGCCCAGTTCGACGATACCTGGCTGAGGAGGAAAGCATGGTTATTGTTTCGAATCCTCTTTGGTACAGTCTTGCTGTCGCTGTGGTTGGCCTGGCTTGGAACTCACAGAGCTCCTGCTGATTCTGTCTCCCAAGTGTTGAGACAGACGACAGGTGGGCTCCACCACACTTGATTTTTGTTTTTGCTGTTGTTTTAGACAAGGCTCTGCTGGCTTAGAAACCCTACTAATCCTTTCACTTCTACCTTCTGATTGCTGGGATAATAACAGGTATGTGACACCTAGCTGTAATGTAGTTAAAAAAAAAAAAAGAACACCCCCAAACTATATTTATTTATTTGTTTATTTTGTGTGTGTGACACAGCACAGTTGTGGAGGTCAGGGGACAATTTGCTGGAGTTGGTTTGTGCCTTCTATCATATGTGTGGGGCCCAGGGATCACACTCAGGTCCTCAGGCTTGGTGGCAAGAGCCTTTCCCTGATGAGCATATTTTTGTTTGTTTGGCTTTTAAGATTTATTTTTATTTTATATGCATAAGTGTTTTGCCTGCATGTATTTCTGTGTACTACATGGTGTGCTTGATGTCTGAGGAGCTCAGAGGAAGGTATTGGATCCCTTGGAACTGGAGTTACAATGGTTCTACATGTTAGAATCTAACCTGGATCCTCTGGAAGAACATCCAGTGTTCTTAACTGCTGAGCCATCTCTCCAGCCCTTGTTTGCTTTTTTTGGGGGGGTGGGGGCAGGGTCTCTTGTAGACCAGGATGGCCTCCCTATGTGGGGGAACTTGAATTCCTAATCTTTCCTACTTCTACCTCTCAAGTGCTGGAAATTATATATCACCAGGCCTAGTTTTAATGCAAGTTTTATGTTGTGACTTTATTTCTATAATCCCTGATGAATAGGCAATTTTTGTTTGTTTGATCTTTGAAACAGGGTTTCACTATGTAGCCTTGGCTGGCCTGAAACACCCAAACCAGGCTGGGCCTTGAACTCACAAAGATTTACTTGTCTCTGCCTCCCAGGTGCTGGGATTAAAGAGGTGTACCACACCTGGCTCTTGAACACCAGTGTTTAACTTAAGGGGGCTGGTGAGATGCCTCAGTGGGTAAAGGTGCTTGTTGTCAAGACTGAAGAGCTGAGTTCAAGCCCCAGAACCCACACAGTGGAAAGTGGAGCCCTGAAAAACTGTCCTCTGACCTCCGGCTGCCACCCCACATAAATGAATGAAACACATTTAATTTAACATCATAAGACAAGGATTATACAAAGTTTTAAAAGCAGATAACCCATTTGTTTATATTTTGTCTCATTTGCTTTCAAATCTGCCTCCTGCAGATATATGCATTTGATTTCCTGTATGAGAGTGTAAACAGGTGACATTATACTCTTTTCCTAGATATTTCCTGTATGTTAAGAGCAAGGACAGCCTTTTGCATATGTGTTTTCTTTCTCCCTTCTTTGTTGAAGGATGGGGGAGGCATCTCACTACACAGTCCAGGCTTATCCTGAACTCTCCATGTAGCTCAGCCTGTCTCAGACTCCTAGCTATTCTGCCACCTTCACTTCCCAAGAGCTAGAGCTGAAGGGGTGTGCCCCCAACCCCAGCTTTTTGTCTCTTGAATGTAAAACAAATGGGCTTTAACCACAGATCTCCGTGTGCGTGTGTGTGTGTGTGTGTGTGTGTGTGTGTGCGTGCGCGCGAGCAGGTATGGCTTTAGGGATGGAGCTCCCGGGGCTTGCACTTGGGAGGCAAACCCTCCACCACAGAGCTACACACCCAAACCTAATCTCATTCAGGCACAGTGATTATCATCACGGTCGTAATGATTATGACCAGTTATACCTTACAATAAACTCCGCTGGCAAACCTCCACATACAGGTGTTCCATCAAGGCAGTATTATGTAAGTGCCTCCCTCTTCCGGCCTTCTCTTCACTCCTCCAAAACTCAGGTTGATGCTCCTTGCTCTGCCTCTTCTTGGGGAGTCTGGTGGCTCAAGTGAGTTGACCAATGAGTTTTCAAACTGTAAAGTTTTGTGCTCTCTCGAGATTATTTCCTTTCTTTCAACAAGGTCTCCCTGCATAACCCTGGCTGACCTGGAACTTGCAATGGAGACTTGCTGGCCAGTTTCCAACCCACAGAGATCCTCTTGTCTCTCCCTCTGAAGTGCTGAGATTAAAGGTATGGGCCACACTTCCCTAGAGGTAGTGTTCTTCCTTTTAAAATAAGTTTATTATTTTGTGTGTACAGCTTTCATGTATGTTTGTGGAAGGCCAAAGAGGGTCTTGGATCCTCTGGAACTGGAGTTACAGATGTGTTGTTAACTGCCATGTGGATGCTGGGAATTGAACCCTCGTCCTGTGGAAGATCAGCAAGTGCTCTTAACCACTGAGCCATCTGTCCAGCCCTGTAGGTAGTTTTCTTACTCCTGATCTTTTTTGTTTCTGGTTAGGGGAGAGGGGGTTTAGACAGGGTCTCACACAGCCTAGTATGGCCTGGAACTTGCTATGTAGTTGAGAATGGCCTGGAATGGTCTAACTCCCCCAAGTGCTGGGATTCCCTGCAGGATCCACTATGCCCTGCTAGTCTCCCGATAGTTATGGTCCTTTCCAAATGACGAGACCAAGACCGCCTGCTAATCTGGATGCTTAAGACATCTGCCTCTTTCTCCACCAACCTTCCGGTCACACTTCAGAGCTGTTTACCCATTTGCCAAGAAGTTCCCACTGGTCCTCCCCCTGAAGCCAGGCCCAGGCTGAGCTCTATTTTAAGGGCTTTTCCTCCTTCTGTCTCTTGGCCTTTCTAGTCTTTTTTAAATGGAACAAGGCCCAGAAAGTGTTGAAACTTGACGTCTCCCAAAGTAGCCCCCATTTGCTCCTTTACCCCCAGGAATAGGTGCAGGAGGAAAGCTGTGTTTAACTCAAGCTGGAGCCCAGAGGCAGCAAACCTGTGGAGATTCATTCATTCAACAAACTTGTGTTGAGTTAGTTCCTTTTGATGCCAGCCCCCCCCCCACCCCCGTGGGCTATAGAGACAGAGAGATGTGGCTTCCATCTCCCTAGAGTGAGGTCCCCTGCCCCCACCCCAAGGGAAATGCAGACAAGAATATACAAAACAATCTCAGAGAGGTTTAAGGTGTTAGTTATGGGAACACATCGATAGAAGAAGGATGCAAAGACTGTTCCGTGGAGTAATGAGAAAGCTGCTTCCTGTGTCAGATCTAAGGAAACGAAGAGGAGGAAAGAAGCCAGAGCATCCATCCTAAGGAAAACGCTTCGTGCATCGGAGGGAGACCAGCAAAGCAGAGAAGAGGTTGGAGGGAAGTCAGGGAGCCAACAGAGTAGGAGATTCGTGGAGCCCGCGCATGCTTGGCCTTGGAGTTGGTCACTGCGATCAGTCGTTCTGTCCATTCATTTATAACTTACATTTATTTAGTATCTACTTTGATGTTCACCATGTAATGTATGGAGACAGACAAGAAGCAGGCAAACGAGCGAATAAAGAAATAAATACAAACGCCAGGTGCCTATCATAAATATTATTAGTGTTTTTCCAGTGGTCTCAGAGTGGGATTTATGGCCGAGGCAGCCCTAAGCTGCGGAGTAGGACTTCTCCCCAGCTGGCACGGGAACCCAGGTAGTCGGGGGGAACCCAGAATGCTGCTTCTTCCTCCAAGGGCCTCCTTTCCCTTCAAAATGGCTGACGAAGGCCAAGCTAGGTGAAGGCAGGAAGCAGTGGCGGGGTCCCCAGCGGGTGACCTGCAGGGCCATCACAGCGCCCTGGCCAGCCTTTGCAGCGGGAGGGGTGGTGGAAAAGCGGATGCAGGGTTGCTGTGTGACTCCAGCTGGGGCTTTTTCCCTCTCTGGGCCGTGCATCCAGATCTGTGTGCGCTTGCCTGTGAGTGTGTGCGTCCGCTCGGGGTTGGGGGGACAGGAGGGGAGGGGGGAGGGTCTCAGGTGGAGTCCCCGTGGGCTCCGATCGTTCGGGAGGGTGACCCTCCAGACAGAGGGGGCCCAGGGGCGGCGCCCGAGGAGGCGGGGCGAGGAGGCTCGGGAGGGATTTCAAATCTCCCTCGCCCGTCCCTTTGGCCCGGCCGGTCGGTGAGTGGCTGCGGCGGGGGCGCCCCCGGGCGGGGGCGGGGCGAGGGCCGGGCCGGGGCTACAAGGGCAAGCGGCGCCGCCCCCTCCCCACCCACTCCCGTGCGCGCCCGGCCCCGCAGCGTCCTCGCTGCCGCCCCTCGCCTCGCAGCTGCAGCCCGCGTGGGACGCTCCGGCCCCAGCGCCCCGGACCAACCCCCCCGGTGGCCCCACTGGCGCGCGGGCGAGCGCACGGCCGCTCCCGGCCGGCAGAGCGGGGGTTAAGCGGCCCAAGTAAACGTAGCGCGGCGATCGGCGCCGGAGATTCGCGAGCCCGGCACCCCGCGCCGTCCGCTGGCCACGACCCGCGGCGCGACCACGGCGCCGCGCCACAGCAAACCTCGCGGCAGGTGAGCGCACCCCGCGCCCCGAGGGGGGGGTTCCCAGGGGCCCGGAACCTGGAGGCTGGGGTGGGGTGGGTGCCGGGGCGACAGGTCCCCTAGAGGCTCCTGGAGGTTTGCGAGGAACCGGAGGGGAACGGGGCGCATGGTGCCTAGCGGGACGGGGACACGGGACCGTGCATGGGGACCGAGGAAGCGACGCCTCCGCTGCACCCCACCACTCTGAAGAGTTGAGGGGAGGAGACGTGTAGGTAGCTTCTCTGGAATCTGGAGTTGAGGGCACTTGGGAGCGGAACGGGGCTCGAGGGGTGGCTGTCCCCCGGGGACCCAGTGTCCTTACCTGGCCCCGGGTCTCACCGGAGCCTCCTTAGGGAGGGATGGTCCGGATGTAGAGGAAGAAGCTGTCTCGTCAAGGTGGCGGTGGATGTGGATCCCTTCTGGCTTGGAACTTCGAATGACGGACACCTCCAGGTTGGGATGGTGCTCTGGGTACCAAAAAGTGGGGATGCCAGATGGGCGTTGTCCTCGGGGTCCTCCGGAGCACAGCCACCTGAGTTGAGGCGCAGCCGGCTGCTGGGAGGGGCTGGCTGAGCACACCTGGCCAGGGTGGAGCTGGCTGGGGGCGGTGCCTCACCCTGCCGGCTGCCCTAGGGGCTCACTTTCCATTCTTAACTTTCTTCCGGGGTGAGGTGGCCCCACTTTCCAATCTATACACTGAAGCCTTAATTAAAAAAACAAAAAACAAAAAACTTGCCTTCACTTTCTAGCCTACAAGTGTCTGTACTTCAGGGATTGCTTAAAGACGCCTGTGGAGTCTTTCCTGGGTAGAAGGTGCAATCAGAAAACCCGAGACCACTGCAGTCACAAGGATGGACTGCCCAGAGGCGCAGCGTTTCTTGCTCGAGTCCACTTGCTGGAGTCCACCTGTGGCTGCAGTCCTGTACTCTCCTGCATGCCTCTGGCTCCAGCCTGCAACCCCCTGCATCCCTGAGGCTTGCAGCATGGAGTCCCTGTGATTCCCGCTCTGCAGTCTGAGGCGGATGAATGAAAAGGAATGAAGGGCCCGGTGGAGTGCTTCCGGCCTTGTGGATGCTGTGGGTTTTGGTGGACTAGTGGCACTTACACTGACCTTCCTGTGTCCACCAGGCCTGCTGAGGCTTGTGTGCTGGCCCTTGGAAGCCTCAGGTGTATACTTAGCTTTTCCAGATTTGGGAGTATGCCCTCCCCCACCCCTAGTGTTTTGGGACCAAATCCAGGACCTTATTTCAGGCAAGCCATCTATCTACCACTGGGTTCCATCTCCCAGCTTCAAGGTAAACTTTTGTGGGGTTGGTAATACAGCAAGCACTGGTGACTACTGTAGTTGGCCTCATTACCTCCCAGCGCAGGCTCTCCTCAGGCAAGCATAGTTTTGGATTTGTGCTTACGTCGTATTATTGCAAAGCACATATCCCTTTCGTCTTAATTGTTATCTTGAATGTTACATCTGTGTAATAGGAACAGTGCTCACAAAGACTTAGGGATGAAGCCGGGTTGAGGTCTTGAGCCCTCCGTCTCTAAGGTGGTGGGCACAGCACCTAGGGTAGGTCCCAACACGCGCATGTTGAGGTAGCCTGTGCCGAGAGCGGAATGGAGAGTCACCTTTGCCAGCCCCTCCTTTTCCTGCCTTCCTGAGGTACTCTGTTTCATTCTCAGATATGGAAGCCTTTCTAAACCATCATTGTCTGTGACGGGGGAGTTGGCAGGAAGGGCTGTCTTTGTTTCCTTTAAAAAAAAAAATTATTACACTTCACTTTGTATGTGTGTACACACACGTGGGACCATTGTGAAGGTCAGAGGGAAACTGGTGGTGGGACACGCTACCATGTGGCTCTGGAGGGCGAACTTGGGTCGTCAGCCTTGGCTGCAAGCGCCCTTACCTGCAGAGGCCACCCATCGCCAGCCCCTTTGTTCCCTTTGGGGAAGGGCTGTGTTTTTATGGTGTGGGCCCCTCTTTGCTCCTTCCCCCCACCAAGCTTGAGGCTAGCTGAAGGTGTAATTGTGGAGCTCAGCAAAATCCTTTACCTTTCCTGTTGGGGTGGAGAGAGCCAGACAAAGGGGCTGGTGAGGTTGCCGGGGCCAGCCACATCCTCTTTAAAGCCATAGGCAAAAACCCTTACCCCTACAAAGGTTGGGGGAGGGGAGAAGAGGATCTGGGAGCCGCAGGGGGCTGAGGGCGGAGGAAGGAAGGTGGAGTTGAGGAGGCTGCCTCCCGGCCTGCCCTTCCTCCAGCCATGTGGTGCCTGTGACCTGGAGCCGCCTGTCACCCCTCATTATTGAAGCCCCAGGCACCCGAGTTCAGTGGACATTTGGACAAGCACTCCATCCCGGGAACTGGCCCTTGGCGTTCCTTTGTCCCAGACCAACCCCCATGGCAGCTCCACCTCTAGTTCCGGATACCATTTCTGAGATAGCTAAATCTGAAGTTTCCTGGGTCCTGTACAGGGCACTCTCAGACCTGGTGGGTTTTTTTTCTTTTTCCTTTTTCCTTGAGAAATAGGGCCTTCTCTGTTGCATAAGCCTTTCTTCCTCTGCCCCCATGTGCTGGCATGTGTCTCCAGGCCTGGCCTCAGGTGTATTCTGTTGGATGGTCGGGCCTGATGTGGCCTGACGTGGCCTGACGTGGCCTGACATGACCTGACGTGGCCTGACCTCCTTCCCTCTCCCTGACTTCCATCCATTGCCTCCCTCAATACTTTTTAATTCAGAGTCGGTCATGTCTGAATGTTCCTCATGTCTTTTGCAAAGTGTGACTTTGTGTATTTCATGGAGCCCCTTTATAGATGGTGGGGCCGAGGGGCCGATCTAGTTGCTTCCCTTATTGTGACTAGCTTTTAATGGGGGACATTTCCACTCTAACACTTGTTACCATCTCAGGACACATTGCCCTGCACAAGGATAGGAGTCCAGTGCAGACCTTCAGATGGGTCTGTCTCTGGCTGGAGACATGCATATCGGTTGCTGTGTTGAGTTAGTTTTCTGAGGTTCCCTCCCAGCTGAGAAGTGGATATGGGTGCACCTTTACCCATCAGTGGGAGCCACGATATGTTTAGATTTTTAGATTAGTGAACTAATAGCTCATTCTCAATTAGTCGAGGAAAGCCCCGAGTGTAATTAAAATCCATTGTCTGTAGGGTGATAGGCTGAGGCAACAGCTGCAGGGCCCAGGGTTGAGGTTCTATTTATAAGGCCGTGCCCCAGCCTCCCTTATTCTCTCTATAGAGTTGGTTTTATAGCATCTGATTGCTGGCTAATTCCTGAGATGCTGAAGTTCCATTGAGTTAATAGAAGGAAGGACTCTGAGGAGTCAAATGTTGAGGATGTAGTTCAGTGGTAGAACACTTTCCCGGACAGCGTGAGGCCCTGGCTTTAGTGCATTGTACTATGTACACACACAACAGGTTTTAGCTTTTTTTGGGGGGAGGGGGAGACAGGGTTTCCCTGTGTATCTCTGGCTGTCCTGGAACTTACTCTGTAGACCAGGCTGGCCTCGAACTCCCAGACATCCGCCTGCTCTGCCTCCCGAGCGCTGGGATTAAAGGTGTGCACCACCACTGTCCAGCTCAGCTCAACATTTGATGTTTAAACTTTTACCTCTGTTGAGTGGGACTAGTTGTTTATAGGGCTAACTGGTTAATGGGACCTAGGAGCTCTGCTGTAGGGTACATGAGGTATGCAGGAGGCTCTGGTCAGGTTTGATCTTGACCTGGCAACACCCTTCAAAGGAAAAATACCCACCCACATGTGGTGGCATAACAAATGAATGAACCTGTTTTTGGTTTCCTAGTAGGTTTCAGTTTCTGGGCAGTGGGCTCTTCCAGTGTTCTGCTGGAGATATGGGAGTTCCTGAGCTGTGGTATTTCCCTCTCCCGGACTTGGACTGCTTAGTCTCTTGTGTCTTTTTTATATTTTTTTTATTAAACTTTCTCACTTTTATTTATGACAAATATTCCCCGATCTCTCCTGGTCAAAAATTCTTTGAGACAGTTCTGTCAGCCTTAGCCAGTCCAGGAATAGAATCATCTGACACTGCATGCCGCAAGTGGCCCCGCAGATAGCGTGGGTTTTAAACTGGCCATTAAACCAGCCTGTGACCCTGTCAGCCTTGGCCGCATTCATCTGGATGGATGAGTGGTCCTTGGCACAATGATGTGGTTGCTTGTGGAACATTTTTGCAGCATGTACAGGTCGACGAACTCGCAGGTGTAAGTCTGCATGTCTGGTTACTGGGAGCACAGAAAGAATGTTAGTCTCTTGTGTTCTTGTCTAGGACTCAGCCCGTGTAAAGGTCAACAACAACAAATTGAGGAAGGGTACCTGAGAGAGAGTCTAGCCAATCCTGGAGTCTCATTTCCATGACAAGGAGCCACATTGGTATCCTCTTGTGTTTGCTTGGGCCAGTGCTGGGACTGTATGTAACTCTAACAGCCATCACTGCTTCCTGGCACTCGGGCGACACGAATGGATTGTACTGGTATTTCCAGCTGCTACAGTGGGCATTGGTGGATAAGCATCATGCAGTTGAAGCACTTGACCCCAGGGACCTAATGAGAAATCCTTGCTCAAGCTAGCAACTTGAAGAGGTGAATGGAAGCTGTGGACAGGGTTTTTTTTTTTTTTTTTTTTTTTTTTTTTTAAACAACTTGGGGTTCACCAAAGGCAGAGGGCAACAAGGTTTAGGAAAAGCCTGAGCAAATGTGTGGGTGAAGTCTCTATTTGTGCTTAGGGACCTACAACAGAAACTATAGTTTGGGGTCTGAACTTGGCTTTGTTTGCCCAATCTGCCTCTATTCTTTGATAGTCCACTAATTATTACCTGCCTTAATCCTTTTTTGTTTGGTTGATTTTTTTTTTT